AAAGAGGGCTGTTGTTCTTACTCCCAAACCTGAATGCTCTAAGGAATGATGCATCTGTGAAAACCGTATTGAAAATGAGACAGTCAGACTCCCCTCAGAGGACTGCTGTCATCAGGAAACAACATCAGTGACAAGCCAATTTTAACCTTAGTTTTCTACTAGCCTTAAAATGCTACAGTCCCTGTTAACACAATGCAATTTGAAGCTGTACACCTTTAAAATAGAATGGGCCTAAGTCAAACTCTGTTCAAAGCCCCAAATTGAGCAGCATCAGAGAAAAGTGTTATAATGATCTTGTATTTTTGTCTGTCTTTAAGCAGATTTATGGTTATGATGATCTCCAGATGCTTCAATCCAGGCTGCCAATGGTAAGTAAATGACTTGGTTTATTTCATTTTAAACAAGTTGTCTTCAGTGTTGATCATTTGTGCCACATAAATTGGTTCATTTAATGCTGTTTAAGAGCTCTTTGTTATGTTCTATGTTCTGGGTTTTTAAAAGTATTTTGTTTTCTAAATTTACAGCAAGGTAATGTAAATTGATATGGAGCAACTGTCGTATCATACATTTGTCTCATCTGCAAAATCTTTAGATAGAAGTGAATGTGCTCTGTGCTTCTGAGTGGAGAAATTTCCAATTGTTGTAGCAACATTAGAACATTTTGTCAAATCTAGATGAAGTGTGAGCATGAGTGTTTTCTTTTACCAAAAGGTAAGGTTGAGCAGCAAGTACAGAAACTGGCAGACAATAAGTGTATCTGACAGTTTTTCAAGGCCCTCATGGGTGGAGATCTTTGCAAGGCAACAAGTACAGGTGAGCTGCAAAAGGGAGTGTGCTGACTTTTCTTCCTTATCTGGATGCTCAATGTAAATGGCATGTGAGACAGGCTGAGCTTGAAGATAGGTTCAAAAAGAGCCTCAGCCTAGATTGCAAAATGGTGTAGAATTTTCTTTTTAGAAAGCTAGGATAAGGGTCTTGTAGAGAAAGTTTGATAGTATGTAGCTGAGAACAGTTACGTGATTAAGTGATGCAGTGTATCTGTAGAGGCACAAGTGGAGCAACAAGCAGTGATCTAGAAAAGAGGTATCACTGGATAAGTACCATAATTTAAAATCCAAATCAGTATACCAGGTCTTTCATGTAGAGTTAGGGGCAGCCAGAGTCAGATAGTTAAAGGTGACTACAGTGGTGACCCAGACAAAGCCCTGTCCAGCTGCAGACCTTAAAAAAAGAAACCCTGCTCCTACCACAGGAGACACTCCTGCAAAACTTCCCCAACGTGAGTTGTAAAATGGCTTGTGTTGGAAGGGACCACAGAGGTAATCTAACTCCAAGCCTCTGGCCATGGGAAGAGACACCAACTACTACAACAGATTGCTCAAAGCCTCATCTGATTCGACCTTGAAACTGTCCAGGGATGGGAGATCCATAATTTCTCTGGGTAACCTGTGCCAGTGTCTCTTCACCCTCACAGTAAATAATTTCTTCCGAATACCTCATCTAAACCTACTCTCTTTTGGTTTAAAGACATTTCCCCTTGTCCTCTCACTACATGCTCTAAAGTCCATTACAAGACTCCTTCCACTGTCACTCCAGCCCTTCTTTAAAAATCTATTCTCTTTTAATCTGTCTTTCTTTTAAGCTCCCTTGAAGTTTTAAAAGGCTGCAGTAAGGTCTGCCTGGAGACTTTACATCTCCAAGCTGAAGAACCACAACTGTATAAGGCTTTCTATGTAGGAGCAGTGCTGTGTTACTCAGTTGTGCTTGTGGCCATCCTTTGGATGTGCTCCAACAGGTCCCATTGGCCTGAGGACCTAAGATCCAGTCATCAGTTGGAGGAGATGGAAAGAGTAGAGGACACGAGGACTAAAGAGATAATTGTAATATGGATGGCAGCTAAAACCAGGCATTACTTTTCAAAAGACGATGCTGCGAGATCATCCCTGTGGACGCACCAGGGAGGAGAGGGGTCAGGGGGTGTGCAGAGAGCCCTCTTTCGGTGTAGGTCTTGAGTGGAGGGGACTTCCCCACGTCCCAGAGAGCCCTTGCTGTGCTACTGAGACTAGAGGCAGTGGGAATTGTTTTCTAAGAGGTCTTTATTTGGTGTGTCAGAAATAAGTGGAAAAACAAATAAATAAATAAACAAATAAATAGATAAATAGCTAAATCCGGGGGTGTGTGCAAATAAATAGGGGAGAGGGGTTGGAGGACTTGTTGAGTTCTATGAGGCATGTGTGTTGTGCCAGGTGAGGGGAGGCGGGAGGGCAGAGGTGGGGGTGGATGGTGGGTGTCAGAGGGGCGTTGTGGGGGTGGGTGGGGCTGTGTGTCTGTGTAAAGCCGCTCCCAGACTCTTCTCTGAGAAGCTTACCAATCAATAGAAGGGCTTCCTTGGTAAATGTTGTGCAAAGCTTCCCTTCTGCCCACAAGAGTGCCCAAGTCCTTTGTAACTCTCCCTTAATTGTTTTTTGGGTTTTTTACTCTAAGTGAGGCATTCTTCGTACTCATCTTTGTATAACAATACAGTTGTTTCTTTGTACATTTTGAGAGAATTGGAAGTGGTTTATTTCTGAGGTGGGTTGAGGAGGTGGCTCTGGGTCTAAGCTCCTGAGGGCTGAATGCTTTTTGATGGAGCTTCTGCAGTCTCTTTGCTTCCCTTGTGTGGTTTGAACCTCATGGTGATGGGGGATAAGAAGTCTTCTCTGAAGTGCTGCTTTTGGACAATGAAGGAGGCAGACCCAGAGATATTTTTGTGCTGGGATTTTTTTTTGTTTGTTTTGTGCCTATTGAGGAATTTTTCCTGACCACTGTCTCATTGTGCTCTGAGGAGGATAAGGTCCTTTACAAACAATTCCATTTTTCCAATTTCCAGTGTTTACCTGGTGAAAAAAGTGTATGTCTTATGCCCTCATACTACTGGAATTTACCAGTTTTTTATCTTTTTTTTTTTTTTTTTGAATCACTGATTCAATTTTTTGAATTGTTTTTTAATGGTCTAATTTCTCTGGATATCCCAATTGCACTGTGATGCCGAGAGGAGGTGATATGAGAGGAGGCTTCTGATGGCCTTGTCCACAGATGTACGCTCTTAGATGTATCTGCAGGAACGGACATCAGTCAACCTCCCCGATCCCCTTTCTGGTGTTGTGTCACCTTCATGTTAAAAACTAACACTAATGCATTTATTCCTTCATGTTTGAATTGCCTGTATTCCAGCTTCTGTCATTACCTCTCCTGCTGTTTTGATGTCTGAGGAGGTTTTAGTTCTTTCAGCCACCTCAGAGAAGACAGAAACAGTGAGGTGCCCATGCTTGGCATCACAGGGTGCTCCAAGGGTGTGGCATTAGTAGGAGATGCATTGTGGGCTTTCAGGAGCGCAGTGGGTCCCTGCAAGTGGCCTGCGATCCGTAGCCTTTGACCTGGGCAGGAGGCATTGGGATCATTGAGGCAGGATGCAGGAGGGAGACTCGTCCTTGCCTGCCTAAAAGACCATGTCTTTTGCTGTCGGGTATGAACATGACGACCACAGGTTGGCTTTTTCCTTGTGTTTTTACAAAAAGTCTTTATTTCCAACCAAGGAGTGAATAAATAAGTTAATGGCTAGCCAAATAAATAAATAATAATTAAATCAATTAAATAAATAAAGCCCAGTTCTGTGATAAATAGTGATTGGCATGGATATCCCCCAAAGTGTCCATGGTCCCGTACCCCATCATCGGATGCGGTTGCAGTCTGGATGGACTTGAAATTCCATGGATAGTCAGTAGCGTGCCTATGCCCAGTGCCTCCCAGCTGTCGATTAGTGTGCAGCAGAGAAAGTTCCTCCCCCTTCCTTTGCAGTGGCCATGGTTTGGGTGTGTGGGCTGTGCCACAGCCTGGCCCCAGTGTCGCCACGGTCATAGCCATTTGCCTGTCAGCTCAGCATTGTGGCTGGAGGTGGCGTGAGCGGAGCCGAGCGATCCCATCCTGGGCTGCTGCTGCTGCCATCTCTCCATCTGTGGGCACTGGCGCTGTCTGGGGATGGGTGTTGGCTGTCGGTGGGTTTAGTGAGGTCCCCAGCACCTTGATGCTTCATTCGGCGTAGGAGCACGTCGAGGTGTTGGAAGCAGGTGAGAGCTTCGAGGCGGACGTGCTCCCAGGCGCAGGCGCTGTGGTTGTGGGCGTGGAGGAAGAGGTGGATGTCGCTGAAGTACTTGTTGATGGTGGTGAGGGGGTTGCGGGGTCCTTTGAAGAGACGTGCGCTGTCGGGGCGGCAGCGCTGGAGGCGGTGGATGTAGTGGTGGAGCTGGTTGAGGAGGCGTTGGTGTGGCTGGGTGTGCCAGTGCTGGGAGGTGCTGTTGGTGCTGAGGGTGTGGAAGAGGTGGTGGAGGATGCGGAGGGCGGCGGCGGCGGCTTGCTGCGGGTTGAGGTTGGTGTGGCGGAGGGTGTCTGGGAAGAAGGGCTGGTTGTGGAGTTGACAGGTGTGTGTGGAGTTGGGAGCCATGTCGTGGAGGAGCTGGAGTTGTTGCCAGGGGAAGGTGTGGTGGTGGGTCCAGAGGTGTTGGCAGGCGAGGGCGGCGGTGAGAGGCGTGAGCAGGAGCAGAAGTGTCGGGGCGCCGTGGCCCAGGCGGGGCCGTGGGGTTGTGAGCGCAGCCATGGAGTGCGTGTGGGTGCTGTTGGCAGGAGGCTGGTGAGGCTTGGTGGTGGTGGTGGTGGTGGTTGGTGTGCTTGGTGTGTCGCCGGGTGTGCTGCTTTATGCGTGGCGTTGTGTTTCCCTTCATCGCTTTCTGATTGCAGCGAGTTTCCGTCCGTGGTTTCCAGTTGGGGCTGTCGGGTGTGTTGGTGTGGGGGAAGTGGTTTGTTGTGGTGGGGGTGGTTGTGGAGGGCAGTGGTTGGTGGTGTGGTGGGGGAGGTTGTGTGTGGTGGGTGAGCGGGGGATGCGAAAGCGCTGGGGCAGAGCCTTTGGGGTGAGCTGTGTCAGGGGGGGTGCTTGGAGTTCCGTGTCAGCTGCAGGGCAGCTGCGGGGCCGGTCTTGCACAGCCGGTGTTTTTTGCCTGTGCCGTGCCCTTGTGGTGGCTGTGGTTGGTTTTCCTTTCCCTTTGTGGTTCTGGTTTGTTTTCCTGTTGGGCACTGTTTTCCTTTCGTGTTGGGCAGGGATGTGCGGTGATGTCAGTGGTTGGAGCCTGGAGCTCCCCGTGCTGCAGTGAGGGCCTGTGGGAAGCAAGGGGAAGAGTTTTCTGTGGGTGTTGGTGCTGGAGCCCTGGATGAGTTCTGGGATGGAGGTTTCCCCGGTGCCATGTTTGAAATGTGTGTGAAGGGGAAAAGGAGGCAGGAGGAAGGCTTGTGTTAGAAGGGAAGAGCTTTGCTGCTGCTTTTCACTGCGGTTTTGATCGGTGTCTGGGGTGCCGCGTGTGTATTCTTGGAGTGGAGGTGTGGTTGTTTTTTGTCTGCCTCTGTGGTTGAGGTGGCTGGAGTGGGAAGCGAGAAGCAGCACCCCAAGGAGGGGTGTTGCGTTTTAGCCTGTGCAGATGGCTGAGGTGGAGCAGCTCAGGGCTGTCCCCAGAGGGCTCACCTGGAGTAGTGTGTCCAGTTTGGGCTCCTCATTCGAGAAGAGGTGTGGAGCTGCTGGAGCAGATGCGGCATAGGGCTGAGAAGATGGTGAGGGGATGAGATCAGTTGCCTTGTGTGGAAAGCTGAGGGAGGGAGGTGGTCCCGTTGAGCCTGGAGCAGAGAAGACTTTCCTACAGGCTTGGATGGCTTTAGGCAAACTCAGGTAGTGTGGGGAACACCTGAGAGGAGGTGGAGACGTGCTCATGTCTGCATGTGTAGGATACCGTTGGCATCAGAGAGCTGTGGTGGTCTGGCTCGCGTGTGTGGAGCATTGGAATGGATGGTTGTACCCTTTTGGAGAGGAGGTGTGTAGGTGTCCATTTGTGTGACCATGTGGAGAGCATTGAGTTTCCCTCCGTGGTTTCCAGTTGGGGCTGGTGGGTGTGTTGGTGTGGGGGAAGTGGTTTGTTGTGGTGGGGGTGGTTGTGGAGGGCAGTGGTGTTGTTGTGCTTGTGCGTGGAGGCATTTATGGCGGTCTTCTGTCTGTGGGGTTTGAAACCATCTAGTTTGTGACACTTGGTTCTGTTGTGATGATGTTGTGGTCTTTTTGTGGTTTTTCCTTTCTCTCTGGGGACAGCTCTTACTCCTCTTGTGTTTTGGTGAATTTCCCTTGTTGCCTGTATCAGGACTCTCTGCTGAACTTGTCTTAAAGCAGCTCGGACTTTACCCTTCCTGCCAGGGTTGTTGGCGATGGAGGACAGGGAAATCACCCAGTTTCTAGTTTTGAGGAATCCTTAAACCACTCTCATCCAAGAGTTCCAAAGTTAAGCATTCTGAGAGTTTTTAAAATAGTGTTTGCTCACTGAGATTTGCACTGTTGCAGATATGCAACGTTCCTGAGGCAGAACCCAGGAAGCTTTCGGTAACTGATACGTTACCTGGAGCTGCTGAGCTTTTGAACTCTCCTTGCAATAAATGCTTTCCAGTCAATCATTTTATACTTTAAAATCCTATTTACCCATTCTAATTACAGGGATTTCCTTCACTGTCCTTCTCTTAGCATGCGTGGAGATTCCTCCCTTGATTGGGAATGCCCCTCTAGGTTATTTCTTGAGACTGAGGAAAAGGATTTGCCCATGGTCATTGGATGAGTTACGTCGTTCTCTAGTTATTATTAAGACAACGTTGAAAGGATTGATTTGGTCAACAGTGCACTAGACAATTAATTACAACTACCTGTAATGTGTAATAGATAATTCTGATTAACATTCTTTAGTCCAATTATTATCATTTTTAATTTTAATCATTTATATTTTTTCTTTGAGGAACATTATTCCTATATGAATATGTCCCTAATCCCGTGGGACAAAGTCATATAAAGGTTCACTTACACCTGTGGAATTCTTCATTGGCCAAGTCTGAGACTAGGATTGAATAAAGCTTTTCCCAGACTCTTCTCTGAGAAGGAATTTAGAAATCAAGGTGGTCCTTTCTGAAGCTTACCAGTCAATAGAAGGGCTTCCTTGGTAAATGTTGTGCAAAGCTTCCCTTCTGCCCACAAGAGTGCCCAAGTCCTTTGTAACTCTCCCTTAATTGTTTTTTGGGTTTTTTACTCTAAGTGAGGCATTCTTCGTACTCATCTTTGTATAACAATACAGTTGTTTCTTTGTACATTTTGAGAGAATTGGAAATGGTTTATTTCTGAGGTGGGTTGAGGAGGTGGCTCTGGGTCTAAGCAGCTTAGGACTGGATGCTTTTTGATGGAGCTTCTGCAGTCTCTTTGCTTCCCTTGTGTGGTTTGAACCTCATGGTGATGGGGGATAAGAAGTCTTCTCTGAAGTGCTGCTTTTGGACAATGAAGGAGGCAGACCCAGAGATATTTTTGTGCTGGGATTTTTTTGTTCTTGTTTTGTGCCTATTGAGGAATTTTTCCTGACCACTGTCTCATTGTTCTCTGAGGAGGATAAGGTCCTTTACAAACAATTCCATTTTTCCAATTTCCAGTGTTTACCTGGTGAAAAAAGTGTATGTCTTATGCCCTCATGCTACTGGGAGTTCCCAGTTTTTTATCTTTTTTTTTTTTGAATCACTGATGATTCCTAATTTCCTTTCCATTTTTTGAATTGTTTTTTAATGGTCTAATTTCTCTGGATATCCCAATTGCATTGTGATGCCGAGAGGAGGTGATATGAGAGGAGGCTTCTGATGGCCTTGTCCACAGATGTACGCTCTTAGATGTATCTGCAGGAACGGACATCAGTCAACCTCCCCGATCCCCTTTCTGGTGTTGTGTCACCTTCATGTTAAAAACTAACACTAATGCATTTATTCCTTCATGTTTGAATTGCCTGTATTCCAGCTTCTGTCATTACCTCTCCTGCTGTTTTGATGTCTGAGGAGGTTTTAGTTCTTTCAGCCACCTCAGAGAAGACAGAAACAGTGAGGTGCCCATGCTTGGCATCACAGGGTGCTCCAAGGGTGTGGCATTAGTAGGAGATGCATTGTGGGCTTTCAGGAGCGCAGTGGGTCCCTGCAAGTGGCCTGCGATCCGTAGCCTTTGACCTGGGCAGGAGGCATTGGGATCATTGAGGCAGGATGCAGGAGGGAGACTCGTCCTTGCCTGCCTAAAAGACCATGTCTTTTGCTGTCGGGTGTGAACATGACGACCACAGGTTGGCTTTTTCCTTGTGTTTTTACAAAAAGTCTTTATTTCCAACCAAGGAGTGAATAAATAAGTTAATGGCTAGCCAAATAAATAAATAGTAATTAAATCAATGAAATAAATAAAGCCCGGTTCTGTGATAAATAGTGATTGGCATGGATATCCCCCAAAGTGTCCATGGTCCCGTACCCCCTCATCGGTTGAGGTTGCAGTCTGGATGGACTTGAAATTCCATGGATAGTCAGTAGCGTGCCTATGCCCAGTGCCTCCCAGCTGTCCATTAGTGTGCAGCAGAGAAAGTTCCTCCCCCTTCCTTTGCAGTGGCCATGGTTTGGGTGTGTGGGCTGTGCCACAGCCTGGCCCCAGTGTCGCCACGGTCATACCCATTTCCCTGTCAGCTCAGCGTTGTGGCTGGAGGTGGCGTGAGCGGAGCCGAGCGATCCCATCCTGGGCTGCTGCTGCTGCCATCTCTCCATCTGTGGGCACTGGCGCTGTCTGGGGATGGGTGTTGGCTGTCGGTGGGTTTAGTGAGGTCCCCAGCACCTTGATGCTTCATTCGGCGTAGGAGCACGTCGAGGTGTTGGAAGCAGGTGCGAGCTTCGAGGCGGACGTGCTCCCAGGCGCAGGCGCTGTGGTTGTGGGCGTGGAGGAAGAGGTGGATGTCGCTGAAGTACTTGTTGATGGTGGTGAGGGGGTTGCGGGGTCCTTTGAAGAGGCGTGCGCTGTCGGGCGGCAGCGCTGGAGGCGGTGGATGTAGTGGTGGAGCTGGTTGAGGAGGCGTTGGCGTGGCTGGGTGTGCCAGTGCTGGGAGGTGCTGTTGGTGCTGAGGGTGTGGAAGAGGTGGTGGAGGATGCGGAGGGCGGCGGCGGCGGCTTGCTGCGGGTTGAGGTTGGTGTCGGGGAGGGTGTCGGGGAAGAAGGGCTGGTTGTGGAGTTGACAGGTGTGTGTGGAGTTGGGAGCCATGTCGTGGAGGAGCTGGAGTTGTTGCCAGGGGAAGGTGTGGTGGTGGGTCCAGAGGTGTTGGCAGGCGAGGGCGGCGGTGAGAGGCGTGAGCAGGAGCAGAAGTGTCGGGGCGCCGTGGCCCAGGCGGGGCCGTGGGGTTGTGAGCGCAGCCATGGAGTGCGTGTGGGTGCTGTTGGCAGGAGGCTGGTGAGGCTTGGTGGTGGTGGTGGTGGTGGTTGGTGTGCTTGTTGTGTCGCCGGGTGTGCGGCTTTATGCGTGGCGTTGTGTTTCCCTTCATCGCTTTCTGATTGCAGCGAGTTTCCATCCGTGGTTTCCAGTTGGGGCTGTCGGGTGTGTTGGTGTGGGGGAAGTGGTTTGTTGTGGTGGGGGTGGTTGTGGAGGGCAGTGGTGGTGGTGTGGTGGGGGAGGTTGTGAGTAGCGGGTGAGCGGGGATGCGAAAGCGCTGGGGCAGAGCCTTTGGGGTGAGCTGTGTTGGGGAGGGGTGCTTGGGGTTCCGTGTCAGCTGCAGGGCAGCTGCGGGGCCTGTGTTTTGCAGCCGGTGTTTTTTTGCCTGTACAGTGCCCTTGTGGTGGCTGTGGTTGGTTTTCCTTTCCCTTTGTGGTTCTGGTTTGTTTTCCTGTTGGGCACTGTTTTCCTTTCGTGTTGGGCAGGGATGTGCGGTGATGTCAGTGGTTGGAGCCTGGGGCTCCCTGTGCTGCAGTGAGGGCTTGTGGGAAGCAAGGGGAAGAGTTTTCTGTGGGTGTTGGTGCTGGAGCCCTGGATGAGTTCTGGGATGGAGGTGTCCCCGGTGCCATGTTTGAAATGTGTGTGAAGGGGAAAAGGAGGCAGGAGGAAGGCTTGTGTTAGAAGGGAAGAGCTTTGCTGCTGCTTTTCACTGCAGTTTTGATCGGTGTCTGGGGCGCCGCGAGTGTGTTCTTGGAGTGGAGGTGTGGTTGTTTTTTGTCTGCCTCTGTGGTTGAGGTGGCTGGAGTGGGAAGCGAGAAGCAGCACCCCAAGGAGGTGTGTTGCATTTTAGCCTGTGCAGATGGGTGAGGTGGAGCAGCTCAGGGCTGTCCCCAGAGGGCTCACCTGGAGTAGTGTGTGCAGTTTGGGCTCCTCATTCGAGAAGAGGTGTGGAGCTGCTGGAGGAGATGCAGCACAGGGCTGAGAAGATCCTGAGGGGATGAGGTCAGTTGTGTTGCGTGCAAAGCTGAGGGAGGGAGGTGGTCCCGTTGAGCCTGGAGCAGAGAAGACTTTCCTACAGGCTTGGATGGCTTTAGGCAAACTCAGGTAGTGTGGGGAACACCTGAGAGGAGGTGGAGACGTGGTCATGTCTGCATGTGTAGGATACCATTGGCATCAATCAGAGAGCTGTGGTGGTCTGGCTCGCGTATGTGGAGCATTGGAATGGATGGTTGTACCCTTTTGGAGAGGAGGTGTGTAGGTGTCCATGTGTGTGACCATGTGGAGAGCATGGAAATGTGCTTGGGGAAGGACGAGGAGACGTCAGAGAGCTTGTGGATGAGGATTGAAGGGAAGGCAGGGTGAGGGTTTGGGGGCATTGGGTGTGTGCTGCAGGTCAGTGGAGCGGGAGGATGGTGTGGGTGAAGCCCTCTCTAGGCAGAGCTGGTCCTGCTGGAGGAACTGTTGTGGACTGTGATGCTCCAGGGCTGCCCTGGCCGCTGTGAGCATGAAATGGGACCCATGGGACCAGATGAGATCCATCCTCGGGTGATTAGGGAGCTGGCAGAAGAGCTTGTCAAGCCACTCTCCATCATTTACCAACAGTCCTGTCTCTCTGGGGAGGTCCCAGATGATTGGAAGATTTCAAATGTCAAACCCATCTTTAAAAAGAGCTGGAAGGAGGAGCCGGGAAACTCCAGGCCTGTCGACCTGGCCTCAGTGCCTGGCAAGGTTATGGAGCAGATCATCCTGAGTGCAATCACACAGCACTTACAGGATGGACAAGGGATCAGAGCCAGGCAGCACGGGTTTAGGAGGGGCAGGTCCTGTCTGACCAACCTGATCTCCTTTTATGATCAGGTGACCCACCTGGTGGATGAGGGGAAGGCTGTGGATGTGTCTATGTGGACTTCAGCAAAGCCTTTGACAGTGTCTCCCATAATATACTCCTGGAAAAGCTGCAATCCACAGCTTGGACAGGGACACTCTGTGCTGGGTTATGAACTGGCTGGAGGGCCGGGCCCAGAGAGTGCTGGTGAACGGGGCTGATCCAGCTGGCAGCCGGTCACCAGTGGTGTCCCCCAGGGATCAGTGCTGAGCCCAGTCCTGTTTAACATCTTTATGGATGATTTAGCTGAGGGGATTGAGTCCACCATTAGCAAATTTGCAGACAACACCAAGTTGGGAGGGAGTGTCGACCTGCAGGAGGGCAGGAGGGCTCAGCAGAGGGATGTGGGTAGGCTGAAAAGTTGGGCTGATTCCAGTGGGATGAAGTTCAACAAGGCCAAGTTCTTAGTCCTGCACTTTGGCCCCAATACCCCCTGCAGCGCTACAGGCTGGGCACAGAGTGGCTGGAGAGCAGCCAGGTGGAAAGGGACCTGAGGGTGCTGATTGACAGGAAGCTGAAGATGAGCCAGCAGTGTGCCCAGGTGGGCAAGAAGGCCAATGGCATCCTGGCCTGCATGAAGAACAGTGTGACCAGCAGGAGCAGGGAAGTGATCCTTCCCCTGTACTCAGCACTGGGGAGGCCACACCTGGGGTATTGTGTTCAGTTCTGGGCCCCTCAGTTCAGGAAGGACCTTGAAGTTTTGGAGCAGGTCCGGAGAAGAGCAACCAGGCTGTTGAAGGGACTTGAGCACAAGTCCTATGAGGAGAGACTGAGGGAGCCTGAGTTGTTTAGTCTGGAGAAGAGGAGGCTCAGGGGTGACCTTATCACTCTCTACTCCTCCCTGAGAGGAGGTTGTAGCCAGGTGGGGATCAGTCTCTTCTCCCAGGCAATCAGCAATAGGACAAGAGGGCATGGGCCTAAGCTGTGCCAGGGGAGGTTTAGGTTGGATATTAGAAAGAAGTTCTTTAGCGAGAGAGAGATCAGGCATTGGAATGGCCTGCCCAGAGAGGTGGTGGATTAACCGTGCCTGGAGGTTTTTAAGATGAGGCTGGCTGTGGCACTGAGTGCCATGATCTGGTAATGACAGTGGGGTTGGATCAAGGGTTGGACTTGATGACCTTGGAGGTCTCTTCCCACCCAGTTAATTCTATGATTCAGTGGTGGAGTTGGAGATGGTCAGGGCAGTGAGGAGGACACATGGAAGTGTCAGTGGCTTGGAGCTGATGGGAGCAGAGTTGGACCTCTTCAAGGACCTTGTTGGTAGAATGCCACGGGGAGAGCCCTGGAGGGCAGAGCAGTCCATGTACTCTGGCTGAATCTTTGGCGTGACGTATCCCGATGCGGAGGAAACGGCCCGGAGATGTTGCGGGATGGCAGAGAAGGTGCTGAGCAAAGTGGGAGCAGAAAGAGAAAGCTTTCTGGAAGTGGAAAAGGAGGAAGGGGGCCTGTGAGGAATAGAGGGGAATTGCGGTAGAAGGTGGGGACAAGGGTAGGGAAGCCAAGGCCCATTTTGAATGGAGCCTGTGCAGAGATATCAGGAAAGGCTTGGATGGATCTGTTGGGAGGAAAGGAAGGATTCGGGCTAATATGAGCCCTGTGCAGAAGGAAAGGGGAGACCTGGCTCTCCTGGGCAAGGAGAAGGCAGAGGTTCTCAATGAGTTTTGTGCCTCAGTCTTTGAGAGCAAGTGCTCCAGGCGTGGTGGCAGAATGGAGAGGAAATGGAGGAGGAGGGAGAATGGAGACACCAAGCTGACTTCAGGAGAGGATGAGGTTTGAGACTGTGTCAGGAAGCAAATGTGCTTAAGTTGATGGAAGCTGATGAGATTGATGCCCAGGTGGCGAGGGAGCTGTTGGGGAAGTTGCTAAGCCCCTGTCCATCATTTTGGAAAAGGGGTGGCCCTCAGGTGAAGTGCCCAATGGGTGGCCAAAAGGAAATACAAACTGCATTTTTCACAAGGGGAGAGCAGAAGTGGATGGGGAACTACAGACCAGTATCACCTGTGTGCCAGGCAAAATGTTGGAGGTGATGGTCCTGGAAAGTGCAGTAAGGCCCATGGAAAAGAAGGAGGCGATTGGGAACAGCCCATCTGGCTTTGCAAAGGGGAAATGCTGAGAAATTGGTGGACCTTCTGTGAGGGGGTCCAGCATTGTTGGATGGGGGCAGAGCAGTGAGATGGTTTGCGTGGACTTCGGGGAAGCATTTGACAGTGTCCCTGAGGGGGACATGGTCGTCTCTGAAGTTGGAGGGCCGTGGATTGGCTGGATGGAGCAGTGGGTGGGTGAAGGAGCGGCCAGCTGGGCCAGGCCGAGAGTTGTGGTGAAGGGCTCCTTGCGGGTGTGGAGAGCAGTGAGGAGCGGTGTGCAGCGTGCAGTTGACTGAGCTCCAGAGGAGGGTTCGTTGTGCTGCTGTGGAGTGTCCCTGGGTGGAGGAGATATTCGGGATGTGTTTGGCCGCAATGCTTGGCAGCCTTCCCTCATTTGTGATTTTGTGATTCTGTGGTGTGGGCAAGCCACTGGCATTGTTTTTCGAAAGAGGTGGCTGCAGGATCGTCCTTGTGGAGGCACCAGGGAGTAGAGGGGTCAGGGGATGTGCAAAGAACTCTGTTTGGGTCAGACCTCAGTGAAGGTGTTGAGTGGAGGGGACTTCCCCACGTCCCAGAGGGTGTTTTCTGTGTTGCTGAGACAAGAGGCAGTGGGAATTGTTTTGTAAGAGGTCTTTATTTGGTGTGTCATAAATAAGTGGATAAATAAATAGATAAATAGCTAAATCCGGATGTTTGTGGAAATAAATAGGGGAGAGAGATTGGAGGATGTGGCAGGTGAGGGGAGGTGGGAGGGCAGAGGTGGGTGTGGGTGGTGGGTGTCAGAGGGGCGTTGTGGGGGTGGGTGGGGCTGTGTGTGTGTGTTTGGGCTGGCGGCGCATGGCGCGGGTGAGGTTGTGGAGGTGGTGGAAAGAGGGGCGAGCTTCGAGGCGGACGTGTTCCCAGGCGCAGGCGCTGTGGTTGTGGGCGTGGAGGAAGAGGTGGATGTCACTGAAGTACTTGTTGATGGTGGTGAGGGGGTTGCGGGGTCCTTTGAAGAGGCGTGCGCTGTCGGGGCGGCAGCGCTGGAGGCGGTGGATGTAGTGGTGGAGCTGGTTGAGGAGGCGTTGGCGTGGCTGGGTGTGCCAGTGCTGGGAGGTGCTGTTGGTGCTGAGGGTGTGGAAGAGGTGGTGGAGGATGCGGAGGGCGGCGGCGGCGGCTTGCTGCGGGTTGAGGTTGGTGTGGCGGAGGGTGTCGGGGAAGAAGGGCTGGTTGTGGAGTTGACAGGTGTGTGTGGAGTTGGGAGCCATGTCGTGGAGGAGCTGGAGTTGTTGCCAGGGGAAGGTGTGGTGGTGGGTCCAGAGGTGTTGGCAGGTGAGGGCAGCGGTGAGAGGCGTGAGCAGGAGCAGAAGTGTCGGGGCGCCGTGGCCCAGGCGGGGCCGTGGGGTTGTGAGCGCAGCCATGGAGTGCGTGTGGGTGCTGTTGGCAGGAGGCTGGTGAGGCTTTGGTGGTGGTGGTGGTGGTGGTTGGTGTGCTTGGTGTGTCGCCGGGTGTGCGGCTTTATGCGTGGCGTTGTGTTTCCCTTCATCGCTTTCTGATTGCAGCTTGCGGGTGTGTTGGTGTGGGGGAAGTGGTTTGTTGTGGTGGGGGTGGTTGTGGAGGGCAGTGGTGTTGTTGTGCTTGTACGTGGAGGCATTTATGGCGTTCTTCTGTCTGTGGGGTTTGAAACCATCTAGTTTGTGACACTTGGTTCTGTTGTGATGATGCTGTGTTCTTCTTGTGGTTTTTTCCTTTCTCTCTGGGGACAGCTCTTACTCCTCTTGTGTTTTGGTGAATTTCCCTTGTTGCCTGTGTCAGGACTCTCTGCTTAACTTGTCTTAAAGCAGCTCGGACTTCACCCTTCCTGCCAGGGTTGTTGGCGATGGAGGACAGGGAAATCACCCAGTTTCTAGTTTTGAGGAATCCTTAAACCACTCTCATGCAAGAGTTCCAAAGTTAAGCATTCTGAGAGATTTTGAAATAGTGTTTGCTCACTGAGATTTGCACTGTTGCAGATATGCAACGTTCCTGAGGCAGAACCCAGGAAGCTTTCGGTAACTGATAAGTTACCTGGAGCTGCTGAGCTTTTTGAACTCTCCTTGCAATAAATGCTTTCCAATCAATCATTTTATACTTTAAAATCCTATTTGCCCATTTTAATTACAGGGATTTCCTTCACTGTCCTTCTCTTAGCATGCGTGGAGATTCCTCCTTTGATTGGGAATGCCCCTCTATGTTATTCCTTTAGACTGAGGAAAAGGATTTGCCCATGGTCATTGGATGAGTTACATCATTCTCTAGTTATTATGAAGACAGCTTTGAAAGGATTGATTTGGTCAACAGTGCCCTAGACAAGTAATTACAAGTACCTGTGATGTGTAATAGATAATTCTGATTAACGTTCTTTAGTCCAATCATTCTCAGTCTTAATTTAAAACATTTTTTTCTTTGAGGAACATTATTCCTATATGAATATGTCCCTAATCCCGTGGGACAAAGTCATATAAAGGCTCACTTAAACCTGTGTAATTCTTCATTGACCAAGTCTGAGACTAGGATTGCATAAAGCTTTTCCCAGACTCTTCTCTGAGAAGGAATTTAGAAATCAAGGTGGTCCTTTCTGAAGCTTACCAGTCAATAGAAGGGCTTCCTTGGCAAATGTTGTGCAAAGCTTCCCTTCTGCCTACAACAGTGGCCAAGTCCTTTGTAACTCTCCCTTAATTGTTTTTTGGGTTTTTTACTCTAAGTGAGGCATTCTTTGTACTCATCTTTGTATAAGAATACAATTGTTTCTTTGTACATTTTGAGAGAATTGGAAATGGTTTATTTCTGAGGTGGGTTGAGGAGGTGGCTCTGGGTCTAAGCAGCTTAGGAC